TTTTCGTGGTGGGTAAAGAAAAATTTTTTTCCTCCCTGCGCCCCTACAACCAGTTTTTTTTAAAAAAAAAAAAAAAAAAATATATATATATATATATATATATATATATATTATTTTTAAATGCAACTATATCCGAATGTTTGTGTTATCGCCTCTTCTTCTGCGTCTTCAAAATTTAAAAACAATTCTCCTGTTCAGTCGAATAACAATAAAAACAGTGAGCAGTTAACTTCGGGCCTAACTTCAAAGTCGTTTTTAGTTCATTTGCCGCCTCAACAGCCAAAAATACAGATGTGACTTTCTTCCCAAACAGTGCAGGTATATCGGACTAGCTAACGCCGTTAGCCATAGCCCTCCAGGGACTACTTAACGGGTCCACCAGGCACAGGTCCAGGGGTCTATGGCGTATTAAGCCTTCATTCGACGTGAAAGTCAATACTGTCACTTAAACAGTTCCTGGCAAAAGTACTGTTGCTCCTTGAACTCCTTTAGCATTCTGTCAGCTACAAACTTCATTGGAATTTATTGATAAAATGACACAACGTGGCTAATTATTCCTGTTGACGCTTTTATTTCGGAAGCCACCTGTGTGGTGTTTAATTTCAGCGTAAATACATCTGTTCTGTGTGGTTGACGGAAAGCCACGAAGTCCAGTTTTCCCTATATGCCATTCAGGGAGCTCTGGAAACATGTGGAAGAATCACCTTGAATACAGTGTGAAACATTGTGGTGGCAGCATCATGCTGGAGAGATGCTTTTCATCAGACATAACGGGGGAAATAGCCAGATGTTAGCAGTAGCTAAGTTCAGAAAAAGTTGAAACCTTTGCACTCTTTTTCAAGCTGTAAGATCATAGAGAGGCAGACCTATAAAACGCAGCAAAGTGGTTCGGCCAATCTTTTCACTTGTACTCTTGTTTCCCCATAACACCTACTCTTTATACAAATCACATCCAGTGTAGCATTTCATATTGCATGACCTACACAATTATCCTCCTGATCCGACGCCACCTGCCACCTCATTGTGAAGCTACACGAATGTATAAAACATCTACTCAGGCTTAATAATAGCGAGGTGATTAACAGGCCAACATGTGGATTATATTTAGAGAAAAGATGCAAGAGATGGGACTTAAAAGCCTCTTAATTGCGTGTGATCTTTTCTAGTGATTCAAAGCAGCAGTTGAGCAACGCAATTTCCTTTTACTGGCAGGTGCTGAAGTGTTTACCCTTTTTTTTTGTAATAAACAGGTAAAAATAGGGCAGAAAATACCTTTTGTAACTCACACCTTTGAATTCTACGTGGGTTAGGGTTAGGGGGGGGCTACCCTGTTTAAAGCTCAAAACCACGTCATCCTTGTGCAAAAAATATTTTTAGCGAAAAACATGAATGTTTTCTGTTAATTAATTTTTTAAATTACATTTTGTGCAATTTTATGGTCAATGGAAACACAGCCAGTGTTGTTGGCAGCTGAGGCTACAGGAGCTGTCAGTGAGGGAAAAAGTTTTAAAGGTAGCCAACACTGTGCGCTTCCTACGTCATCTTCCTACAAAATGGTCAGGAAGAAAAGGGAGACTGCATTCATATACAAAACCTATGCAAACGTGGAGCGAGGGGAACAGAGCCACACATTATGTTTATGTAAATGGACAGTATGTCTGTGGTTGCCTCTGCTTTGCAAGGTTTATGTCACACAGCTACTGCTAGGAACCAGGATTACGAATGAAACAAGAAGTGTTGGCATTATCATATTGTCCAATGTTGTGT